TCACGGTAAGTGTGGAAACGTAAAAATATAACGTAAAAAAATAAATTGAATAAATTTTTCAGTTTTTATTTTATTACTGTTTATATTTCTTTTCTTGAGCCGACATTTTATCCTAATAGATATATAATGTTAAAATATCCGGAAACAGAAACTTAAAAAATATCCTTTAAATGGCACTCTAGCAATTAACCCCTGTTTCAACTAGCGCGTTAATAAATACCGGTCTGTTAATCTAAGTTAATTTAATTTAAGTTAAATACAAATTAAAATATAAACTATTATATATCTTTACATATCAAAGACGTAACCAACGGTAGGGCCAGGGGGGTCATTCCCCTTCCCCTCTCCCCCCCAAAAATTTTTTTTTTAATTATAAATTATTAGGGAAAAACATATATATTAAATATTTTTAACAAATATTGTATCCCTTCCCTCCTTTAAAATAACCATAGCTTCCCCCTCCTCCCATAAACAAAATTGTGGTTACGGCTCTGCATATATATTTAAACTAAATAATAAAAAAAAAAATAATTGTTTTTTTAAACTTTTTGTATTTACTCAGAAGTCCATTAAAATAATTATCTAATTTTAAACCTATTTCTAATAACAACAACAAAAAATAAAGCAATGTTAATTTAAATTAATAAGCATATAATTAAAAGTTATTAGCTTTATTTTATTATTAAAGTTATACTTTTAAACTACTTTTCAATATTTTATGCAAGGATGTGTCTTAGTTACCGATCAAATGTCTGTTTTGTCATTATTCCATTCAAGCAAGCATCGTTGCTGTTGGTGAAATTTTAGTTTCGATGTTCTATTAGAATGTGAATCTCTGAGATCACATTGAAGGAAAGATCTTCGGCACATTGAAGGAAAGATCTTCGGCACATTGATAGATCAAGTTTGTTGCTAATGGCTCAGTTTTAAGTTTTGCAAAAAATTTGCAAATGTAATCTAAACACCGTTGATCAATATGGACAGTGCTCTTTTTAGATGTTATTCCCAATTGAACTTCTTCTTAGAGTTATTAATCATCTTTTCAAAAATTTTTTAGACTTGTGGCCTGGAGCCAAAGAACAACCAGTTGAGTTGTACTCCCAGCCGTACCATAGTGGACACTTCAGAGGCAGATTATTATATTTTTTTTAAAAAATATTCTTAAACAAATTGTTAAAAATGTTTGCGCCTGTGAAGTCTTTAGTTTTACTTAAACTCTAAGAAATTTCTAAGAAGTTATTTTATTCATGTTTTAAAACAAGGCTTTCTTTTTGTGCTGTTCCAAAATATGAAGAAAAATTGATATTCCAAAATAATTTTAAATTCTAGTTATAATCCAAATAATAATTTATTTTAACAGGTAAATTAATGGGTCTATTTTCAAGACAAATTGACATGACAGGCGTCAACATCAATTAACTTCAATTGTAGATCAAGGCAGTTCTTGTGTTCACTAAAAAAATTTTTTTTCGGCTTCCTCTTTTTTGTCTTTCTTTTTTTTTTAATCTTTACTTTTTCATCTACCGTTTCTTACCTATCGGTCACTTCTTCTTTATAGTTCTTTTCTTTTTCAACTTGTTTATTTTTTTTCGTTCGGTATTTCCTCGTTTTTATATTCGCAAACACTGGTTAGATCATTTTGTGTGCCACATTCACTTTAAATTGACATTAAAAAAATCACTTATTTCTAATTATTTATTAAACGTTATTTTTGTTATTATTCGTCTCAATTTTCTTAAAAATTTTTTTTTGATATTTTCTTTTACTCTTTAATTGTTTTTTCAGCTGGATCTTCTGACAAAACTCTACAAAAATGAACCATGATGCATTTCACAAAAATACACATAAATATTATAATTATTATTGAAGTAATTTTTTTTCAATCACAATATGTGGTATGCGTGTATTAGAGTGTGTGTGTGTGTGCGTGTGTGTGTGTGTGTGTGTGTGTGTGTGTGTTTGTGTGTGTTTCTGTGTTAAAAACGATATTATGTTTTATAAAAAATACATTTTTCATACCAGGTTGTTAATTGTTTGATTGTTTCATTGCAAGCTTAAGTTTGAATTTTTACCTAAATTAATCTCGAAAATATTTTCATCTAATATTAGGAGCAAAATTTTTAAGATCAACTTTTAAAGATATTATATTAATATATTATATAATATATTATTATATTTAAAGATATTATATTGTCTGAAACTGTAATTAAGGTGTATTTCATAATTAGTTTGTAACATAAATAAGGAGGTTTTTATTTATAGTGCAAATTAATTTCAAACATAAATGACAGCGAATTAAATTTTTCCAGGAAACGATAAAGTTACTAGTTGCATTGTGTTAAATTTATAATATGAAAGATGTTTCCTATGAAGTGTAAGATATTGTTTTGTATTTTAGCATATATAGTATGTTTGCATTAATACTAATTTGGTAAACTTTTAATTTATTTATTTATTTCAATATGGATTTTTCACGGATAATATTGTTTTTATGAAATATTGTTCTAGAATTAATTTAGTTTTTTGCGAACTTCGTAAGGTTATGTTTGACGTATTTAAAACAGTTATGTATAAAGAAAAAAAAAAATAGTTTCAAGGTGAGTGTTTGCACTAGTCCGTTTTTCTACGGGAACAGGAAAAATAATCACACGAGCATGCGCAGTTTTCCTTCGGACTAATAAAAACTTTTATTATGCATGCTCATGTGTTTTTTTTTCAATCCCTTTCCTGTAGAAAAAACGATGAGTGAAAACTCGCCTTTTAGTTTTGTTGTGATAATGAGTTTTAAAAAATATACCAAGGTTTTTATATACATTTGTCGTTTTTGTCAATAACCACACCTATAAATTTAATTGTTTTGTTTTTTTCAATTTTTTTGTAATTAATACTTAGTTAGGGTAGAGTTGTTGGAAGTGCAGTTTTTTTTTTTTGTTGCTTCGAGCGTAAAAAATATATTTAGTTATTTGCGCGTGTAATGATAACTTATTAGCGCCGAACCAGGCTTATTTTGAAGCTCAAAGTAAACTCATCTAAAGGTCATCAATAGAGGTAAAGGTCGTCAAAATGATTTTCAAAAAAGGTAGATGAATAAAATAAATTCATATCATCTGCAAACATTCAAAAAATGTAGAGGCTTTTATATGTTTTACTAATTTTATTAGCATCACCGTCAATTATGACAAATTGTTGTCCATTATCTAAATAGTCATTTAACAAATTGGTTTTTATATATAAAAATTTTTTATTTTTTGAATTAAAATTTTATAGTAGAAAGTATCGCAAGCTTTTACAAGGTTAAGAAAAGCTCTTAATTCAAACTTTTTCCCAATGCAAAACAATTCACCAAATTATTTTCGAGGTCAATTCTTTAAATTTGCAAATAAAAGATTTTTTGATTGAGTTTGTTGGAGAAGATTCGTCAGTACCCCCTGTCTCCCAAAGTAGGTGATTTTCAACTTATAGTCAGTTTTTTCTGGAAAATAGTCGGCTAGTCGACATTTGGCACATTTCAATAGGTACAATTATATTTTTGAGGGCCTTTTTTATTTTGAGAATACAATCAGCACATTTTACAAATTTTCCCCTTCCCTCTCATTTATTACTAAAGTTATCTCCTGCTTACACCTTTCCTTATTTGCAAAACTCTTTTTATAATACTTAGCCAAATTTAGTAATAACGTACTCACATACCTTGCTACATATTCCATTAGCTTTTTTCTTGTTTCTAGCGTTTTGTTTGCGTATTTTTTTTTTTAAGTTCTTTAAATTTTTTTTAAATATTTACAGTTTGTTAAGTTACTATTCCATGACACGATAAATAATACAATATAAAAAACATATATAATATAACATAGTAACAATAGTTTCTCATCGTAAAATAATAAAAAATGCTTCATTCAAATTATAACTACGTCTCTTTAAATATAAATATAGAACTGTTAAGAAAACTCGTAGAAGACTATGGAGACCTGTTTTTTAAATTAGCAGTATTAATTTATGTTAAATAATGTTCAGTAATGTTTTAATTTCTGTATTTTCGGATATTATTTTGTTATGTAGGTATGGACCCCGGTATGAAATAGAGTTTCATGAGAATTGTTTTGTTTTATAAGCAATGTAAAGTTGCTTGTTGCTTTGCCAATATTTTAAATAAATAACTTTAATATTTTAAATAATAAAAGAGGATAAAAAATATTGTCTAAAACCTTTTTATAAATAAAGCGAATTAAAAATTATTGCTAATTCGCTTTATATGAACAGTTTTTAGACAATATTTTTTATCCTCTTTTATATATCTGGTAAATTTAATGCTTATAAAACCTGATATAAAATTATATCTGGTATTGAACTTTTTGAAAAAAGGTTTTCTTATAAATATAAAGAGTTTTATGACTACATAAAGTGAAAAAATAAATTTTATTCCTATTCCTTATTTTATTCCTAATTTATTTATCTGTTATTAAATTTTCCAAATCAATATTTTTTAAATTGCTAATTCCATCATATTGTTTGTTTGTGTCAGTTAATTAAAAAATTTTTTTCTTGATTGTTGATATTTTTATTTCGTTAATTTTCGTTTATTTTGATAATTATTTTGTTAATATCTTTTTAAATTAATAATTTTTTACAACCTTTGATTTGTTATTAGTTGAATTATTTTTCAAGTTTATCGAGTCGGTCAATAATTTTTTTTAAATTTTCACACATAATACCTAAAGATATCTTATACATTCTGAAAAAAAAACTAATTTTTTGAACTTTGTTATTAAAATTTTTTTACAAAAATAATTTTATTTTTTTATTTTTGTAGAGTTCTTGCAATACTTTTGATGTGAAATTTTGTACTAGTAATTTAAATATTTTTAATATAATTTTGCATAATTATTCATTTAAAACAGAAAAAAACATCTTAATTCTTCATCAAACTGAATTTATAAAATTTTTAAAGTATTAACATTTTTAACTATTCGGGTTGCACACAATGATAATGTTAATGTCATTACATTATCATTGTGTACAAAGTTATAACATACACAATGATAATGTTAATGTCTACAAAGCACAAAGTAAAAAAAAAAAGAAGTAAAATACAAGTTGAAAAAAAATGTTCACTGCTCAACCTAACGTTACGACTCAAGAAAATTCAACGTTCAATACGGAATGTCAGCTGACACTTGCTAACTATTTTCTGGTTTTCGGATATATTGCTGTTATTATTATTGGTGTGATTGGAAACATTTTAGTGGTTATTATTTTTCAAGTTGATTTAAAAAAAAGACCAACTATCGATTTACTCATTTTTTACCTCGCTATTTTTGATGGGTTAGGTTCATTTTTCGGCCCTTTCGTATTTTTATACTGGACTTTAACATGCCACAAACGATGGGATTTTGGATGGTTTGGGTGTAAAACACTTCCAACATTTAGTCGTGTTATGACTAACATATCAACTGGTGTTATACTTATTATGGCAGTTGATAGATGTCGCTCAATTATTTTTCCTTTTAAAAGACGTTTCCGAAAATTAATTATACACATGGCCATCATTATAACAGTACTAATATCAGTTGTTTGGGAATCGTATTACATAAGTTCTCTACATATTGACATATATCAAACATGCAATACTGCTGCTGTCAATAATCATTTTTACGCTTATCCCCTCATTACTTTGGTAGCAGCCAGGTCTATAATTTTTATATCAGTATTTTCAATGACAACATTTGCTGTGTATATTAAGCTTCATAATTGTGAAAGACTGGTTTTTTTAAAAAACAACTTGCTCAATGTCTGCAATAAAAACAAAATAGTTATGAAAATATTGATAATGATGGCATCAGTGTTTATTCTCTCTGTTGTACCGCGAGATATCTACGTTTTGTACTATACAATATCTTGGCTTCCTGGTGATGGAGGAATATATGGAGAAAGGTAGTTTTTTCAATCTATTTTTAAAAAATATTTGTTTTTATTTTATTTAAAAATAATTTATTATTATTTTGTAAATGTTTACTTGAATGCAACATATTGAAATTTAAATAAGAAATCTCTAAGGACTTATTTACAAAATGATGCTGTATTCATAATTGATTTTTTCATTACACACACACCCAGCATGTCACTCAATTTCGAATTTCAATAACAAGTCTTTCGACCAAAAATATGACGTGTTTTCTTTTTAATTTCTTTAATTGTTTTATGCTGTTATTAGCATAAAACCATGAAAAAAGAAAATATAAATATGATTACAAAAATAAATAAAGATTTTTAATTTGAGGAAAGCTGGTGCAAATGAAACCATGAAAAAAGAAAATATAAATATGATTACAAAAATAAATGAAGATTTTTAATTTGAGGAAAGCTGGCCATGATAAATGCAAAAATGCAAAAAATGTCAAATGATAAAATGTCAAAGATCTGTATAATAGCTATAAATAACTTTTTTTTTTCAGCAAATATTTCTAATAAATAGAAAAAAAAATGCATATAAAGGCATTCAGATAACTTGGTTTAAATAGAATTCAGAATAAAAAAACCTTTTTGTCGTATGGTAAATGATTTAGAACTAATAGTAGCCACAACGCAGTAAATAAAGTAGGGGAGGCCGGGGTTAATTGGCTCGGTTTATTTCTATGAACTCTGTAGCCCTAACAACACATTTTTTAAAAATAAAAGAGTATGATTTTGCGTAACTTATAAAATGTTCATTTATTTACAAGAAAAAATTCTTGAGACCTTTCCGGGCCCTCAAAAAAAAAAAAAATGCGTCAACTTACCCGACCAAGGGGTAAGTTAGCGCAAATTTTAAAAATGATTAATAATGTACTATTAAGCGCAAAATTAATAGAAATTTTTCTACTATTAATTTTGGAAACAAATTTAACCCAAAAAATTAGTATAACTTTTATCTGGTACCAAATATTAGTACGTATAACAGCCAAAACAGTCGCCCATTTTTTATTTGTGAAAAAAAAAACTTGAAAATTTTTTTTTACCGGATATAGTAAACCAATTGTGACTGAAACTTTTACAATATTTTTTTTTTCATTTAACTAACTATTTTCTTTGTAAAGTAAAAAGGAAGCGATTTTCCAAAAGTTAAGTTTTTGTTCAAAAAACATATAAATCTTAATATCTCCCTTGCGCATGCGCGAATCCTAACATTACTATAGTGAATGATGAAATGGTCAATTAGGAAGATTCTGTGTAATTTTTGTCACTTTCTGATAAAAGGCTCTGAAGATAAACGCAGTTTGTCAACTAATCCTTTCGGCCAACTAGCCCCAGTCTCCCCTACTTGTTTTAACTAGAGTTGTTAAAAAGGTAAAAAAAAGCAAGACTAAGACCACATATTCTAAGGCCAAGACAATGGCAAAGATTTTCAAGGCCAAAATATTAATTTTTGACATTATGTCAACACCAATTATTATCAAAACTGCAGATAGAAAGTGCTGCAACAATAAAACCTCATGTTGCATAATTAGACCAAGGTTATGGAAAGAAATTTAAGATGTCTAAAACGCCAAAAACAAAAATACTTAAAAAATACAAAAATTAAATCCCACCCAATTTAAGGAGGTTACAAATTTTACAAGATCATAACTTTTTAACGCTAAGAGATTATTAGTCTAGTTGAGAATAGTAAAAAAAGTTTTAGGAAGAGAAGGGCAAATACTCTGAGGCTTTTTTGTTCCCATGCTCCAATCATCGAAATGTTTTGCAAATCATCATTATATGACATAATTGTAAACATATTTTTTTTCCTTGTCTCAACTGAATTTAACTTTTTAAACTCCAATAACTGCTTGACATGCCCCTGCTGAGGTGCAACCTCATTTTCAATACATGTCAATTAGGTTTATGGTGTACTTCTTGAGCTTTCTTGGTGTTGTTCTTAGCACTATGTAAAGTATAAACCTGAGAATAAAATGTTTAAATATTGAAAGTTTTTTTATTCAAGATTTCTTATTTTTTAATTTTTGTTATTCGATCTTATTGACTTTTTTTGTCTCTATAATCACTCTTTACTGCATTATTTTTTCGAAACCATCCCCGTGGGAAATGAGCTTTACTGTATTATTCTTTCAAAACTATCCCGGTGGGAAATGAGCTTTACTGCATTATTCTTTCAAGACATTATTCAGAATCAATCATCCATTAAAAACAATCTAAATTAAAAAAAAAAAAAAAAATCGCACTGTTTTTGTTTCTAACTTCTTTTTTTTGCTCGTTTGTGCCAAAATGATCTTTAAGCCAATTATATGCATGTATCGGGTTGATTACACTGGCCGTTATAAATAAAATGTTTTCAAAGTTAAGGTTATGAATTTTTGAACATGGTGCGATTACATCAAAAAGTTTGATTTTAAGAAACAGAAATATACTATGAAAACAGCCATGTAGTTCTTGCAGCAGAGTTTTAATCATTAATGAGAATGTAATGCTTTTTCTGTACACGATAGTAACAGAACAACTGAAACAAAACAACTGATAGTAACTATCTTATAGTAATTGTCCCAACTTGTTTTATTTTTAGATTGAACACTATTTCTTTTTCCCATTGCAGATTAATAAACAAAGTAGAGAACTTTAATGTAAGAAATTTTGAAGTTTTAAAATTTTAAAAGTCAAAACTTGTTAGAGACTTTTATTCGTTACAAACACTAGTTGCAGAGAATGAGAAAAGCAAGCTATTTGTTTTGCAGTTATAATCAGAGATTTTTTAGATCTATACCATCTTTGACTGAATCTTCCCACAATGATGAATTAGATTTTTTTATTCAAACGTCCCTATCATCAAAAAAAATGTTCGAGATGAAATTCGTTGCCTGCATCGTGGCGTGAACATTGAATTTACATCAGTCAAAAACTTTAAAAAATTAGTGTTTTCAGTTAAGAAAATGACTTTGGTTACAAATGATTGAGTCAGTAACTTTTGTTGAGGATTTTGTTTGAACTGTAGGAAAGATTTTTTTTTTCATTTCTCACGGGACTCGTTTTTATGAGTACTATTAAATTTTTTAAAATATAGAAAACGTTAGACAAAAAAAAATACCAAAAGATTATTAATAGTTTAAAACTAAAAAATAAATATCATTTATTTGACTTTATTAAAAGAAAAATGTTATCTAGTCTTATAAAATATCTCTCACTCTTTATTTGGCAGGTTTTAAATTTGATACGTAGAAATCCGGACAAAAGTTCGGTCAATATAAATTGTTTAAGGAGTGTTGCAAAATTGTTGCAACTTATGCTGTTTTTTAGTTAATTTAACTCTCTACAAAATGCAATATATCTTTTAGCAAACAATTATTTATTATGGCAAAGAAAATTATCTTAAAACAGGAAGACCTAAGAAAGCGCGTGTACGCGTTTATCAACTTGCATCCGGATATGAAGAAATGTGAGATTGTGAGACACTTTATGATCAAAGGCTCATCAAGGTCAACTCTGTATAATATTCTTCAGCACAAGATGCTCAAAATAGGCCCTGAAAGACAGCGTGGAACTAGACGGGTGGTAATTAAGATGAACACAAAGCGAATCACCATGCTGAAACAGCAAATCTATCATAGTGACAGAGTTAGCCAGCGTCAGCTAGCCCGTGAGTATGGTGTCAGCCAAAAGCACATATCAAAAACAATTAGCACCAAGAGAACAATCAAATACAAATAGAAGAAAAAAGTTCCGGATCAAACTCCGCAACAGAAGTTAGCCGTTCGTCCGAAGTGTGCCCACCTGGCCAGAGTTTTATGGAAAAAGAAGATGATCATCGACGACGAGTTCTATTTTTAGTTGAGCAATAACGAGCCATCTGTAAACAATGGTTTTTACGCGTCTGACGTCAAAATGACTCCAAAAGCTGTTAAACTCAAGCGCAAGTCCAAGTTCGAGCCAAAGGTACTTGTTTGGATTGCAATGTCCGAGGACGGCCTATCTTAGCACCTGGTGACACCTTCTTGCCAAGTGATCATCAAGATGTCTACATCCAGAAGTGCTTGATAAAGCGCTTGATTCCGTACATCAACACAGTTCATAAGAACGACGAGATCGTTCTTATGAACTGTTACTAAAAAAATCTTCCAGCACAAATTAAAAAAACCTAGTTTCAGCCATTTTTTGCTAAAATTTCTTATTTATGGTAAAGCGAATCATAAAAATGATTTCTTTTAGGGTATGTCTTTATATGTTGTCGCTTTTTTCAAAGATACATTTTAAAAGATACAAATTTTCAAAAGCAATAAAAGAGGAAATATTATGCTTACCTGTTAGTTTTGATTTTAAAAACAATCCAGAACATCTTTTTTAAACCTAATAATTATAGCCAACAAAAAAAAATTGGACTAAATTAAAATTTACCCTCAGGATCAGAGGAGAACACCGTGAAACTTGCAAAGTCCTAACATTAATTTTTTTAGTGAATTTATATGCTATCCCCTACCGTCCTTACCCTAATTTTTTTTTTAATTTATTGATATTTTTGACAATATATTAGTAAAACGCTTACTTTTTGCAGGAAAGGTTTTTCATTAAAAAATAATAAAAGATGTTATAGAGTCGAAAGTCAAACAGACTTAGTTTGTGGATTTGGTGAGTGAAAATAAAGATATATTGGGTAGTAAAATACCCCACCATCCTTTCCACCATCCACCACCACCCATCCTTGGCGACCAAAATGTTTAGATTTTGGAACGTTTGGAAAAAAAGATGCTTTTGAACGTTTAAAAGGCGTCTAAAATGTTTAAAGATTAAACATTTTGGACGCCTTTTAAACGTTCAAAAGCATCTTTTTTAGGCCGTGCCCACTGGGTAATATAGGGTTTTCAAATCTTACTGCAAATATAGGTGCATTCTCAATTTTACGCTAAAACATTATGAGGTTTTGAAAGAATTTTGATGATTTTCTGCTAAGCGTCAAATTTATTTTTAAA